CTGGCTCCTGGCTTCAGATCGGCGCAGCTCCAGCCGTTGTGGCCATCTGATCCTAGATCTGATCTGGGAAGTGAACCAGCGGATGGAAGACCTCTCTCTCTCTGTTTCTACCTCTCTCTGTAACTCTGTCTTTCAAATAAATAAATTTTTTAAAAATATGGTAAAAATGTTTCACTCCATTTTTTAAAAAAGTTTTTAAATGTATTTGAGAGACAAGAGAGCTTCCTAGCACCGATTCACTCCCTAGAGCATTGCGAGAGCCCCTGGTTGAGGCTGAAGCTAGGAGCTAGGAGCTAGGAACGTAATCCAGTTCCTTCATGGGCAGCAGGGACCAAGTGCCCGAGCCATCACACTGCTCCCCAGGATCTGCATTAGCAGGAAGCTCGGGTCAGGAATAAACCCAGGCACTCAGCGGAGAATGAAGGTGTCTTAACAGCCTTTGCTCTTCCTTCCTTCCTTATTTATTTATTTGAAAGGCAGAGCCACAGAGAGAAAGATCTTCCAACTGTGGGTTCACTCTCCAAATGGCCTCTATGGCTGGGGCTAGGCCAGAGCCAGGAGCCCGGAGTCTCATCTGAGTCTCCCACCGTGGGTGCAGGGGCCCGAGGACTTGGGCCATCTTCCACTGTTTTCCTCGGCGCATTCAGCAGGGAGCTGGGTCGGAAGCTGAGCCGGGACTCGAACCTCTGTCCACATCTGATGCCAGCATCGCAGGCAGTGACTTAACCCATCACACCACAGCAGTGGTCCCTCTTCCTTCTTAGTAATATTTTTTCCTCGGATTTTGGTGACAGTGTTATCTTTATTCGGAATATCGGTTATCGTGTGCTGTGTTTAAAAAGGAAATGGTGCCTTCGGGGCCTTTTGAGGTACGTAAGACACTGCCCTGGTGACCACAGCACCTTTTGGAGTCTGGATTCGCTGAACAAGGAGCTGTCATGCCTGTGCTTTGTCCCTTCACCATGCTGTGGCCGTCTCCTCCCCTGGCTTGACACTGTTGTCACAAGGATCCAGTGAGGACTTGACCGGCCCCCTCCTTCGTAGCAGCTGTGCCGTGAGCAGATTCTGAATGTGGGGTGAATCTGGAGCCCGTAGCTCTGCAGTGCCGAGAGTGTGAGAGTGCCAAACAGGTCTCAGAACAGAAGCTGTGACAACAAGTATGAAGTCAGTTAGGGAGATGCTGACCAACTGCGACATGAGAGGTTGTAGAATTGATGAAGGTAGAGGCCAGCAAGGAGGGAATTTAGAAAATGAACCTTTTTTTCTATTTTTTTTCTTCCAGAAAGCCTCGCTATTTTAATGTTAAGAGTCCTGAACATTGTAATTGAAGTTCCTTGTGGCAAGTGATTGAACAGTCACTGAGTTCTTGCGCGTTTGGGATTCAAGTCTCGGTTCTCACGGTCTCTTGAGTGTTCTGGGGGAAGAATGTTCCGGTGTTGTCACTCTGCCTGCAGGGTAGGACAGAGGGAAGGGTCACTTGCGTGCCTGCTCTTTCGGGGCGCACTGTTGGGACCAGGGAATTCTAAGAACTGAAAACAAAATCCCATGACACCTGCCTTCAAAAAGCTTCGGTCAGCAGGTTGACGTCCAGAGTGACGGGAAGGACTGTATGACCGGTGCAGAGCAAGCGCCTCTTATCTAACTAGGAAATGAGTAAGCTTTGGAGAAGGAACTGAACAGGAAGTTGACAGGGTAGGAAAGAGCCAGAGCGGCTAGGTGTGGGCTTAAGGAGAGACACACTCAACTCTCCAAGTCAAAGGACAGCAAATGCCGCAGGGAGACTCCCTGGGGTGCGGTGGGGCGCTGGCTTTCCTGTCCCTCACACGCCTAAAAATTATATAAGACCCCGAAGAGTTTGCTTATGCAGGCTTAGCTGTTAATATTGACCGTATTTTAAATTGAATCAAGAAGAATCTTAAACGTCTTTAGATCGTTGAAAAATACAAACAAGGCAGATGTTTGGCCTGGTGACTTAAGAAACTGGAACATCCCATGTCCGAGTTCCTGGGTTCAAGTCCCAGCTCCACCTCCAATCCCGCTTCCTGCTAATGCACACCATGGGAGGTAGCCGGTGGCAGCTCAAGTTGTGGGGTCCCTGCCCCTACGAGGGAGACCCAACCCCCAGAGTCAGCTCAGCCCAGTCCCAGCTGTTGTGGGCATTTGGAGAGAACCAGTAGGTAGAAGTTCTGTCTCTCTTTCTCTGTCTCCGTCACTGTCTGCCTCTAAATAAGTAAGCAACAGATAAATTTTAAAAAAAAATTTAAAAGAAATCTATCATATATTAACATAATGTCTTTTATGAAAATATTTTCCGGGAGCCGGTTCCATGGCACAGTAGGTTAATCCTCCACCTACGGCGCCAGCATCCCATGTGGGTGTCAGTTCTTGTCCCGGATGCTCCTCTTCCAATCCAGCTCTCTGCTGTGGCCTGGGAAAGCAGTAGAAGATGCCACAAGTGCTTGGGCCCCTGTACCCGCATGGGAGACCAGGAAGAAGCACCTGGCTCCTGGCTTCGAATAAGCATAGTTCCAGCTGTTGCGGCCATTCGGGGAGTGGACCATTGGAAGGAAGACCTTTCTCTCTGTCTCTCCCTCTCAGTGTCTATTACTCTACCTCTCAAATAAATAAATAAAATCTTAAAGAAAAATATTTTACAAAACAAGCAAATTTAGTGAAAAGAGTGGCACTGTTTAATTTTTCAAATCTCCGCAGTGCCGGTCTTACTGGGAGGTAGCTGGAGTCTTTGCTTCAGTCTGTTGCCCTGGCCTGTAAGCGTAGAAGGACAGAGTTGCTAAAGATGATTGTATTGGGCTTTTCAGGTAGTTGTGGACGGTTCTGTAGTATTACACCAAGCTGAACAGATGGGAAGTTTCTGAAAGGAGCCTGCACGTGGAGGCTGGGGATGTCTGTATACTTTATTCCATGGAAGCCCAAGGGTCTGCTTTGCCTTGACTGAGACTGTGACCGTGGTTGCGTCTGTTAATCACTTGGAAAGTACTGGTTCGCTGAGCCGCGCAAATGTTTGCGGTCTCTGGCACGTTGCAGCGTGCATGTCAGGAAGACCATTTCTTAATATCCCCACGTCTCATCTCCAGCCAGGACAGCTGTCGGGCCCACCCAGACACTGGGCACTCCTCCTGCAAGCTTTGTTTATCACTTGCCAGCCTTTCAGAGACCCTTTATTAACCTATTTCTTTTTGTGTGTTGGGGGGGGGGGGTGACATGGTGATTTTATTGTGATTTTAATTTTCTTTTTCCCAATTACAAATCTTCATCTGTTTGCAGATTGTTTGTGAGTTCTCTTCTCTGAAATGACTTTTCATGTTTTTAACCTGTTAAACAGTTGATCCCAGGTGTTCTGTATATATCCTGGGTATTAATTCTTTGCCAGTTTTGAACGCTGCAAGTGCACCCTCTCAGTCTGAGGTCTGCTTTCTGTTCGCAGCCGAGGGTCTCAGAACAGAAGTTCTTATTTTAGTGTAGTTGATTTTTATCCTTCTTTCCCTTATGTTTGTTTTCCCCCTGTGCCTTGTTGAGGAAACTATTCCCTGCTACAACGCCGTAAAAATATCCTCTAGATTGTAGTCCTTAAACAAAAGGCTTCTGGGAAAGACAAACTTCACGCATCTCATAAATACAACTTTAGGAACATGGTGGTTCTTCTCATTGTACCCACACTCCCACCCCCCCTCCTCCCTCTCCTATTCCCATTCTTATTTTTTTACTAAGATCTAACTTACTAAGTACAGAGTTCAACAAAGGAAAAAAAAGAGTTCAACAAATAGTATAGAAAAAAAAACTGTTCCTCAACAGTCAAGACAGGGGCTGTTCAAAGTCACTGCTTCTTAAAGTGTCAGTCTCACTTAGATTGTCTTTTAGGTGCTCTGTTAGTTATCAGAGTTCAGGGAGAATGCTTGGTGTGTGTCCTTTTGGGACTGGCTTATTTCACTAAGTATAATGTTTTCTAGTTTTATCCATTTTGTTGCAAACGACAGGATTTCTTTTTTTACTGCTGTGTAGTATTCCATGGTGCACATGTCCCATAATTTCTTTATCCAGTCTTCAGTTGAAGGACATCTGGGTTGATTCCATATTGTGGCTATTGTGAGTTGAGCTGCAATAAACATGGGGTACAGATCACTCTTTCATGTGCTGAGTTCAGTTCCCTTGGGTGAATTCCCAGGAGTGGGATGGCTGGGTCATACGGTAGGACTATATTCAGACTGCTGAGGTATCTCCATACTGTCTTCCACAGTGGCTGTACCGGTTACATTTCCAAACCTGTTTCTTTATCTCTGTTGTGTTTTCATAGAGGTAAAATGGAAAAGACCAGTGTGTTTGAAGTCCTTAGTATGAGGCCTTTCGCCGTATAATCAACGGTGCTTACTGATTCTGTACCGCTGTCTCTGCCGCCACCAGTCACGTGGGCAAGTAGCTGCTGGTGCCCTGTCGCTGTCACCACGTGAGGGGTGTTGACTGGAGCAAGATGAGGAGGGGGCCTGTTGAGGAGCAGGGATTTTGGCCATCTCTGGATGAGGCCAGCCAGTTGCTCTGTTTGTCAGCGACAGTGTGGGACCCTCCCCATGCCCACACAGCTCTTGAAGAGTTCAGAGCCCACAGATGCTCACGAGGCCCCTTGCCCTCATCCTTTATCTGCCCTTGGCTCCGTTCTGCTGTTACCACGTGGTGTCAGTGTGCCCGTGCCCCGTCCCTCAGGACAGGCCCTGCTGCCTGCCCCTGGGTTGTGTGTCCCACTCGGCGCCGGGCGGGGGATCCTGGCGCTCGGAGAGTATTTGTTGAGTGAATCTGTGTTGAAGGGAGCTAAAAAGCCTAGAAACTTGGTCACATTGCCCTTGGGATCTGAGCAGTCACTGGCTGTTTCTTTTCATTTCCCTGAGGAACGTGTCACCCCTCTTCTTTCTCGAATGTGTGTTAATGGAGAGCGCCTGCCCGCGCTGCTCAGCACGGCTGCAGCCCCGTGTTTGCCCTCTGCGTTGCAGATGTTCCTCCTGCTGACCAAGAGAAGCTCTTCATCCAGAAGCTGCGGCAGTGCTGCGTCCTCTTCGACTTTGTCTCCGACCCGCTGAGCGACCTGAAGTGGAAGGAGGTGAAGCGAGCGGCGCTGAGCGAGATGGTGGAGTACATCACCCACAACCGGAACGTGATCACCGAGCCCATCTACCCCGAGGTGGTGCACATGGTGAGTGATCGCAGCACCTGCGGGCTCGGGGTCAGGGAGGACGGCGCTGCCTGGGCACACCCTGCAGAGAACCGTGGCCGTCGGCGTGAGGGGAGCCGGCTCCCCTAATCACACGTACCCAGTGCAGTAGAAAAGTTGGGACTTTTATTGGAACTTCTTTTATCATTAATTTATCTTTTATCTTTAATTTTTTTCATACGTGACCTTAATATCATGGTGCCGTTGTATCATTTAGAAGTAAACATGGCCATATGTGTGCAGAAAAATCTAATGATGGGGCGGGGTTAAAATGCTAGTGGGGCCAGGCTGGTACCAGACAGTGCGTCCTGATTGGCTGCGTTGGTCTCTCACCCTGCACTTAGTTCATCATTCGCTTTATTTATTGAACGCTGAACTTCAATATTCTGTTGAGGTTTTTTTTGAATTGCTAAAAAAAATTTTTTTTTTAGTTTTTTTTAAACTTTTATTTAGTAAATATAAATTTCCAAAGTACAGTTTATGGATTACAATGGCTTCCCCCCCGATAACTTCCCTCGCACTCGCACCCCTCCCATCTCCTGCTCCCTCTCCCATTCCATTCACATCAAGATTCATTTTCAATTATCTTTATATACAGAAGATTGATTCAGTATATATTAAGTAAAGATTTCATCAGTTTGCACCCACACAGAAACACAAAGTGTAAAATACTGTTTCAGTACTAGTTATAGCATTACTTCATATTGGACAACACATTAAAGACAGAGATCCCACATGAGGAGTAAGTACACAGTGACTCCTGTTGTTGACTTAACAATTTGACACTCTTGTTTATGGCATCAGTAATCTCCCTAGGCTCTTGTCATGAGTTGCGAAGGCTATGGAAGCCTTTTGAGTTCGCTGACTTCGATCTTATTCAGACAGGGTCTTAGTCAAAGTGGAAGTTCTCTCCTCCCTTCAGAGAAAGGTACCTCCTTTGATGGCCCCGTTCTCTCCACTGGGATCTCACTCGTAGAGATCTTTCATTTAGGTTTTTTTTTTGTTTGTTTTGTTTTTTTTTTTCCCAGAGTGTCTTGGTTTTCCATGCCTAAAATACTCTCATGGGCTCTTCAACCAGATCCAAATGCCTTAAGGGCTGATTCTGAGGCCAGAGTGCTGTTTAGGACATCTGTCATTCTATGAGTCTGCTGTGTATCCCGCTTCCCATGTTGGATCGTTCTCTCCCTTTTTGATTCTATCAGTTAGTATTAGCAGACACTAGTCTTGTTTGTGTGATCCCTTTGACTCTTAGACCTATCAGTGTGATCAATTGTGAACTGAAATTGATCACTTGGACTAGTGAGATGGCACTGGTACATGCCACCTTCATGGGATTGTATTGGAATCCCCTGGCAGAATTGCTAAAATTTTATCCTCTTTGGAATTGGTTCTCCAAGTTATTGGGAAGTGATTGTTACTTAAGATAAAATTGATTTTTTAAAGATTTATTTATTTATGTATTTGAAAGGCAGAGTTACAGAAAGGCAGAAGAAGGGGGGGTGGGTTTCCATCGCTGGTTCACTCCCCAGATGGCTGCAACGGCCGGAGCTGCTGCACAAATCCAAAGCCAGGAGCCAGGAGCTTCTTCTGGGTCTCCCACGTGGGTGCAGGGGCCCAAGGACTTGGGCCATCTTCCACTGCTTTCCCAGGCCATAGCAGAGAGCTGGATCGAAAGTGGAGTGGCTGAGTCTCGACTCAGCGCCCATTTGGGATGCTGGCACTGCAGGCGACGGCTTTACCCACTACACCACAGCACTGGCCCCGAGATAAAATTTTAAATTTTCATTGACGTCTTTCTTAAGTTACTGATATTTTTTTCCAGAATGACATAATTCAGAATTGACTATACTATTAATCCAACTCTTTTCTAAAGATTTACTTATGTATTTGAAAAGCAGAGTTACAGAGCCGGGGGGGGGGGGGGGTGGCAGAGAGAGAGATTGCCCATCTTTGGTTTCACTCCCCAAACGGCTGGGGCTGGGCCAGCCTAATGGCAGGATCCTGGAACTCCAGCTGGGTCTCCCACATGGGTGCAGGGGCCCAAGCACTTCGGCCATTCTCTGCTGTTTTTCCAGGTGCATTAACTGGATTGGAAGTGGAGCAGCCGGGACTCGAACTGGTGGTCACGTGGGATACCAGCATCACAGATGCTGGCAAACCCGCTGTGTCACAGCACTGGCCCCAAGATACTTTATCTGATGTGTTTGCTTTGGAAAAATAAGATGAAAGTCAAGTTCTTTTTTGTAGTTCAGTCTACGTATCAGTAGTTGAGGTCTTCCTGATTGTTTTAATTTATTGTTAACTTTTTAAAAAGTTGTGTTTATTCACTTTATTTGAAAGGCAGCTCTTCCACCTGCTGGTTCACTCCCCAAATGTATTCTCTCCTAATTCTTTCATATCTTTATTCTTCATATTACATTCTGTAATGCTCTTGAAACTTTTTTGTCTGTGTGAATGTTACATTCTGTTAAGAATGTAACTTCAGTTCTTATTTGATTTTTTCCTAAAATTATTGAAAAATCATTTGTCCCTAATTCATACATTAAATGTTCCATTTCCCCAATTAATTTAAAACTCTTTAGTATATAATGTTTATTTTATTTTAAACTTAATTTTGGATATATATTTGACTAAACATTTATATATTGTATTTACACGTATGGAAGATTTTTCCTTTTTTATTTTCTTTTTTTTAAATTTTTGTTCATCTGAAAGGCAGAGAGACAAAGATCTTTCATCCACTGATTCACTCCCCAAATGCCCACCACAACCAGGGCTGGGCCAGGCAAAGCCAGGAGCCTGTGACTTGTTCTGGGGCTTCCACGTGAGTGCCGGGGACCCAACAGCTTGAGCCACCCCTGCTGCCTGCCGGGCCTGCGTTAGCAGGGAGCGGAATCCGATGCAGACGGGACTCAGACACAGGCTCTCCAGGACGGGATGCAGGCATCCTAAGTGGTGGCCCGATGCCCCCCAGGTTTTTATTTTCACAGAGTCTTGGCTGCCAGTGGTCCCCAGTAGACTCCCATCCTTTAAGTGAGTAGGAAGGAGTCTTGGGAGGATGCTGGAGCTGAGCCAATCAGGAGCCAGGAGCTTCTTCCTGGTCTCCTGTGTGGGTGCAGGGGCCCAAGCACTTGGGCCATCTTCTACTGCTCTCCCAGGCCACAGCAGGGAGCTGGATTGGAAGCGGAGCAGCTGGGACTTGAACTGGTGCCCTTAGGGGATGCTGGCACTATAGGTGGCGGTTTTACCTGCTATACCACAACATCGACCCCTCCATTTTCACAAGAAGTTCTGCAGCCACAACCCCTGGCGTGCTTGCCTCTCAAGCTACACTTGGCTGTTTTGCTGAAACGGTCCCTGTGGCTTCCTGTGGTTCTTTCTGATGTGTGTGTCCGTATTTTGGCCACCGTGTGTGTTATAGATGGAGACGTTAACTAACAGTTAGCTGTGGTTCTTTCTGATGTGTGTCCGTATTTTGGCCACCGTGTGTGTTATAGAAGATGTTAACTAAGCTGTGGAGAATCCAAAGCTCTCCAGACGTTTTACTCCTAGTGCTGCTACTTCTACATGCCTTGCCTACTACTGCTGTGTGGCTTGTTACAGACTTATTAAAATATTCATACACCTTATAACTCACTCATCTAAAGTGTATGACTCGGTGATTTTTAGTATGAACATAGGATTATGCCAAGTGTCATCCCATCTAGTGTTAGAACATTCTAGTGTACTGCACTGTTCATTCAGAGCCCCAGGAGGGCCGTGTGTCCCAGGGGGGTGCCTGTGGGGCATGCAGTGCGCCTCACCACGTGATAGGCAGCCGTGCCACCACGCGTGTGTATCCGGGAATGACGTTTAAATAAACAGCAGATGTAAAAAAAAAAAAAAAAAGAACATTCTAGTGCCCCCAGGCAGTCTTAGATTCGCTGGCAGCCTCTGCCATTCCTCCCCACCCCCACCCGCCAGCCTGGGAACCAGTGATGGCTTTCAGTCTGGATTCACCTGTTCTGGGCATTTCACGTAAAAGGATCATGCGACATGTGACCGTCTGTATCTGGCTGCTTCTATTTAGCATGGTGCTTTCAGTGTTCAGCCGTGTTACAGCATGAATCATGCAGATGAGACTCCGTCACACAGATCCACCACCTTTTGTTGATCCAGTCACCTGTTGCTGCACATTTGGGTTATTTCTGGTTTTCTGACTGCCATGAACGTTCGCGGACAAGCTGTGGTGTGAACGAAGTGCGTTTCTCTTGGATCTGCACCCAGGAGAGGAGCCGCTGGGTCCCGGACTGACCCTGGGTGTTTGAACATTCTAGGCACTGCCGGGCGGTTTTCAGGGTGGCTTCATCATCTGCTCTGCTTTCAATGTGAATGGGGGTTCCAGTTTCCTTGTTGTCATCTCTCTTCATTGTAGCCACCCTATGGGTGATTTGTGCTCTCTGCTGACTCATGACACGGGGCCTCTCTAGACGTGTGCTGTGTTCAGACACTGGGGATGCTACACCGCACTTTATTATTATTTTTTAAAGATTTGTCCACTCACTCGAAAATGAGAGCTACAGAGAGGGCGGGGGGGAAAGGGGAGAGAGAGAAAGAATGTGAATGAATGAGTGTGTGTGTGTGTGTGTGTGTTTCCATTCTCTGGTCCACTCCCCAGATAACCACAATGGCTTGGGACTGGGCCAGGCTGAAGCCGGGAGCCTCCTGCAGCCATCTCACGTGGGTAGCAGGGGCCCAAGCACTTGGGCCCTGCTCCACCACCTTTCCCAGGCCATTTAGCCGGGAGCTGGATCGGAAGTGGAGCAGCTGGGAATTGAACGGGCGCCCACATGGGATGCTGGTGTCGGACACGGCAGCTCCACCTCCCACACCACAGTGCCGGCCCCTAGACCTGCATTTGAACAAAACATTGCCGATCATGTAGTCTGACCTTTTTCTTTTCTAGATAAAAAAGCTCGGGTTCAGAGACCTAAGGGTGAAAA